AACTCGATCAACAATGTTGCTGTCGATGGTATGGCTCGTCACGTTCTCGATGTTAGAAGAGTGGTACGAGATGTAACTTCAGAGGAAGAGGATGATGAGGGAGGTGGCGGTGAACAGCAAACCTTGCAAACCCTGACGAGAAACGAAGGTGCAGGTGAACCCCCTCCCAGGCGGTATCCTGATCGAGTCAGGAAAACCCCCGGTTGGTTGGTGGACTATGAAACTCAGTAAATGAAGTAATCAAGTGTACAAAGTGTAGATAGCGTTGAACCATGTCCTGTTCGCACGTTGAAGAACTAAATTTTGTTTTGTTTGATCTTGAGATCACGGGGGCGTGTGGTTAGCTGTGTGATTCTCGGGAAAGTAGTCGAGTACGGTTGACATTGAAGAAACCAAGGACAGGCCGAGGCGTGAGCCACGGACTTTTGAAGACTGCGTGAGTAGCGGTCGAGGCGCAGCGCAGAGAGTTGCGACGAGTCAGTGCAAGTTGGATCGCTACATGAGGTGGGTGTGTGTAGTAAAACCGTATGCATGTATAGTTAAACTACATGACATTTTATATCTCGAGAATCCGTGAAACAATCATTGTTCTATGCGCAATTTATGAAAAACATAACACAAACATGCACATAATAATATTATTAATATGCGCACAAAAAATCAATAGGTGTCACGACATGGTGGGATCAGGCGCTCATCAGTTTTGAGGCATACCGAGTTATTGATATCATCTTAAAGTCTGTCCATTTGCCTTCCTTTTGGTATAAACGATATTCATCTATGCTGAATAGAAGTCGAAATATTTGCGATTGAAGGGGGTGTGGGTCAACTGATTTCAGAGGTAAATTTAGTGAGAAAACAGCCACCAAAGTTTGATAACTTCAATAGCTTGAGAGCCTTTAAAACTGAAAAATCACATATTTTGTACATTTAATTAACGTTTTTCAGTAAAATTCGCATGGAAATGTGTTATTATATGAACGTAAATGGTGTTTAGCAGAAAAACCAAAATTCAATAAAAGTTCCCAAACCAGCGGAAAAATGCCCGTTTTCCTACTTTCATTATTTTGACGAGCGCCTGATTTCATCACGGTGCCTCACAAGAGCATCTTTCTTACTAATAAGGTAAAAATTGAGACTCATGTCAATAACAAAAGCGCCTTAATTACTACAAATAAAACAAGTTAAAGTGGAATTCTTATAAAGTCAACACTTTAATGTTGACTTTGAGCAAGGTTGACCTTATCCATTGTACTACTGGCCATTGAAAATTGAAGATGACAGCTACAAAATTACAAAGTACCTGGTACATGTAAAATAAAAGATGTAATCTCAATTTCAGGGAGCATAATTCTGAAGTTGTCACCAAAACAAGAGATAATGAAAGAACAAAGTAATTGGAGGTGTGTACACCGCTAACTCAGTTGAAACATCTCTTCTTTTAAATTAAATGAATACATCTTGGGATTTAGCCCCAAATTGTTGACTTTACGCAAGCTTAACACTCAAGCTGTTGACTGTATCAGGAACACAATTAGATCTACTTAAAATTACTTAAACAAAGAAGGTAAAAAACGGGACCACAGTGAGGTGTTGACTGTAAGCAAGAGTTGACTTTAAGCAAGTTGACTATCAGGATT